TGTTCATGAGGTATTCATATTTCCAGGCGTTTCCGATAAGTTTGCGACTCCTCCCGCAACAATGCCGATATCACAGTTGAATTTCGCTTGCCTAAATCCCCAGCTACCGAATTTAGTATGGACGAGCTTGAGCGGGGTTTTGAAGATATTTAAGCGTTGCGATATCGTTCACTGAAAATGCGGTGTTGGCATATTTTAGCAACTAGTGAAAATAGAATTCTGAAAATTTGGAGTCTTATTAAATTTGGCACGCCTAATTCATTGCAATAAAAATAAATGGGGCATTTATAAGATTACAAAAAGACTACGTGTAGCTCAAAACTGGGAAATCTGGCAACATTGCCAATAGCACTGTTGAATTCCGCATGCCTGAAAACTGTCAGATTCTGAATTGTGTGAACGCGGCTTAAGCAGTTTTGAAGATATTTAAGTGTTGCAGGACTTTTCACTAACCCTGTATATCACAACTGCAGCAGCAGCAGTGTTGCCAATAAGCGTGTAATTACACGATTTGCGTGTATTTTGATTGGCTTGCGTGTATTTTTCGAACATAAACAAAAAGCGTGTATTTTGCGTGTAATTTGAAAATTTTGACATTCTCTTATTTATTTTTGTTCTGTTTCACGGCTTTCAAATCTAAAGCCACCGCCCCATTGTGACATAGATAGGACTTGACGTTTCCTCTTCCAATTGTTCCTTGCATTCCCCTCCATTATTTTTTGTTTGTGAAATGGTCTGTCAAGTGACTACCCTTATGGCTAGGCTCAAAACCAAAGCTGTTTTCTCGCATCCACTTTTTTCAAAACAGGTTTGAACCAATGTCCAAAAAGTGGACGCGAGAAAACGGCTCAAGATTTCAGGAAACTCATGATCAATACACACTACTTAGAATTGCTTATCGGCCTCGTTTTTGGAAATGGGTTGCCTGGATAACTCTATGACGTCATCTGGGTTGCCCTAACATAATGCAAATGTCCATAAGGCACCCCAGATTCGTCATCAAGTTACCCATTACCAGAAAACCTTGGGAACCTCGTCAAGACGAGAAACGACACGATTTCTACGTCATCACTGGTGTTTTGCCATGGTGGGGGCTTGAGATTTGAACTACACAGGCCTTATGAGGATAGACTAACCTGTAGTAGTGTGTATTATCCTTGCAGGAAACTGAGGTCCAAAAGTATCCAGTTCTCCAGAAATCAAAGTAAAGTAATTAGTAATTTGATTACTTTCGGATCGCGTTTCTGTCGTTGCCACATCTTTATTTTTGGTCAAGAAGCTATAAAGCTATGATCAGGAGCATTAACCCTCAGATTTTACTAGATTTGACCTATTTCCCAAAATCATTATTCACAAAAAAAAAATTATACCTAGGTACCAAAGTCGTGTGTAAAAATCGTGTAATTGTGAGACTGAAAGCGTGTAAAAACGTGTAATTTGACCAGCAAATCGTGTTATTTCACAAAATCAGATTGACAACACTGAGCAGCAGCGGCAATTTGCCAGGATGACATTGTGTGTACACGTTTCAGTAAAGAACTAGGCAAACGGGCTTGCTATAGTAACTTGCTTAGAGCAGGTAAAGGTAAAGAGGAGTAGTAACCTGGATTTGGAAAATGAAGCCGTTTTTTTCCAGGTATTTTGGCACCAAGAAAATGGCGGCATAGGAAATTCAATGCTTTACCTGTATCTTGGTGCCAAACACCTGCGAAAAACTTGGCTTCACTTTTAGTTTTATAGCAGAATAGCGCGTTCCTACTCCTTATGTCCGTAGGACAGCGTCTTACCTGCTCTAAGGTAACTTGCTAGAAGAAAAATTGGCCTTTTGTTTGGACGCCATATTGCGGTGCGCGAACATAGTTGCCAAAGAAGAAAATAAAAATTACTAGCGGGCTGTCAACATTAAAAACAAAAGTAACTAAATGATTGATCCTCGCATCCTTATTATTTCTATTCTGCCCAATACAAGCTAGAATTGATGGCTTTTCTTTTTAAAAACATTCGTAATAGGCTGCAAATTTAAATTTTAAATGTAATTTATTCAAAAACTTTTATTTTTAATGTTGACAGTACGCTAGTCATTTTTTTTTCTACTTTTGGCAACTATGTTCGCGCACCGCAATATGGCGTCCAAACAAAAGGTCAATTACAATATAGTGTAGACACACCAGCAAGTATATTGCTGAAATAACTATCGCAAGTTAGTTGCAAGTGGACACGAGCCTTTACACTGGCAAAATGTCATAGGAACGGCCGGTTTCCTACTGACAAAACCTCTACCTGTTCCTACCTGGACAAAAACAACATGATGGGTTTTCAGCGACAAAATTTTATGTGGTTAATCTAAAAAACTATTGAGTTTGACAAGTGTCACCTAAACAAAATAAATTTTCTAAATGAAAAGGCTTGTTTCTCTCGTGACTCCTGAAATAGTCCAGCCGAATACCACTCAAGAAAAAATTATGTAGGCAAAATTATTCTCTTGGTTTTATTCAAGTTAGTTGCTTTTTGGTAATTTCGCTCGTGAAATTTTTGACAAAACCACTCGCCTGACGAAATTAAAATTTCATTTTACTTTCTTACTTTGATGAAAATCGAAGTTAAAAGACTTTGAAGCTTCGCAGCTGCGAAACTATTGAAGCTGCATTGAAACTATCATATAGAAATTTGTAGAGAATTTAATTGGCTTTAATTGAAGCCTAATTACGTTCAAATCGGATTGAAATTAACAAAGTTGTGAGGCCCAATATGCGTCAATGTCATTTTGGAAAAAATCACCAAAAAATTATATCGACGGACATTTTTTTTTTTTCTCGATTGACAAGAAATGTCAGCATTTTTGACCGGTTGACAGGTCGCAAAACTCAATATTCTGGTATTTTAATTATGTTTCAATAGTTGCTAAGAAATCTATGAATAACAATACCGGAATCACTTTTCTGGCCTAGGCCGGGAAAGTGATTCTCGTACTCAGTGATGCCGTTTTTAATACATTTGTACTAGATTCAGTACACTCCACTGTAATTTAGTACGTCAGTACACCATCGATAATTTTAGTACAATTTACAGAAAATTACAAATCACTAGTAGCGATTTCCATTTGCAGAATCACAGAATCAGTGCAAAAAAAAATGTACCTATTGCTATCCTTACATTTTATATGCTTTAAGAAAAAGTTGCAGAATGCGAAAACACTGGTATTGTATGTATTATCGTTTAATCGAATGAAAGATGTCGCAACTCAGGAATAACAAAAAAATTAGATTTTTCATTACGTCACTTAAGGATAATACACACTACTAAGGATTGCTTATCGGCCTCATTTTTAATATTAATCGCCGCCATATTGGTGTTTCACTCATGATACTACAACTCGAGTTGTAGTATCATGAGTTTCACTATTCCCGACGTCATTAACAAGTCGTCAGCTGTTTGCTCTAGAGGTCGTAGTTAAGAATTTAAATTTATGACGAAAAATATTCTTTAATTTTGATTAACATAATAGGCAAAGAGGAAGATGAAAAAACGAGATCTAAAAAAAATCGTTTTAGAATGTTAATTAATGTAGCAAAAACCAAGTATGCATAAAGCAAAAGCCCGCGGAATCATAACCTGTAGTGCAAGCAGCGTACGTCCAGGCGATAAAGGACATGCTGTCAACGTCACAACTGGTGATTTGCGCAGTGTGGGGGGATTTGTTCTACACAGGCCTTATAAGGATAGGCTATCAGTACTAGTGTATATTGTCCTTGACGTCGCCCGCATAAATGCTTGTTAGATTAGATATTTAGTACATTTTTAGGAATTTTAGTACAAATCATCGCCAGACTTCAGTACAAAATTGATTTGTCTCGCGGCAACACTGCTCGTACTGCTGAACAATTGGAACAAAAAGACAAAAATTTAATAGAAATTTAACCTATCGCAAAAAAAATAGTATGTGTATTTCGGTGGAAAAGCACATTCTCGGCCTTCGGTGTTTGCCTGCCTCGGCTACGCCTCGCCCGTCAACTTACACCGTCGGCCGAGAATGTGTCACTTTTCCACCTAAATACACAATATACTATTTTTTAATATTTGAGGGAATGGATTGAAATTTTTGCAAATGGATAGAAAAAGGATTGAAATCACAGAAAAAAAAAATTAAAATTTAATTTTGCTCGCTCACCTTGATAAAAATCGAAGTTAAAGGACTTTAAAGCCTCGCAGCTGCCAAACTATTGAAGCTGCATTGAAACTATCCAATAAAGATTTGTAGAGAATTTAATTCGGTTTAATTGAAGCCTAATGACATTGAAATCAGATTAAAATTAACCAAGTTCCGGAGCAAAATGTGTGTCGATGTTATTTTGGAAAGTATCAAATTTTAGTCTAGGAGGCAGTGACGATTTTCGGTACTTATTTTCCCAGTCAGACAACATGGATTGAATTGTACGGTTAGTAATTCTAAGCAAAATACATATATTTTTAGGGTGGGTTTTTCCGATGGGTTGAGGTGCAAAATGCGTTAAAGCTTACGAATGCACGGCCCTTTTTTTTTCTCAGTGATAAAAATAGGTCTACTAATGAGAAGCAGTATACTGAAGTTACGTAAAAAAATAGTCCGGCTAATCTGTGAGTATGGATAATATGTCTGGCAAGTGGAAAATTGAAGATCCGAAAATTTTCATCCAGATTCACTTTCACTATCTTAGATAAGCCAAATTGCTATTTTCATAACTTTATGTTCATTTGTAGTAAATGTGAAATATTTATGTCTGGGAAAATAAGCGTACTTGTATTTTTTATTGATCTTGTGAACCCATCCGAAAATTTTAGCCAGACTCAAAAATTCTTGCTCTGTATCACCAGCAGAACAAACTTAATTTAATAGACACCAACTGGGAAAATAAATGCTAAAAAATTTCACTGCCTCCTGGACTATTTCCAAAAAAACGACTTTTTTTTTTGAGGAAAATATAGTAGAAAAACTCAATAAGTAATAAAATGTTTTGTTACAGATAAACCATGGCCAACGTCTACGTAGGCTTCCACGACCAGCGCAACAGCAGCAGAGTATTGAAACCTCCGGGAGGCGGAACCTCCAGCATTTTCAACAACGACTTCATCCCGGACGTCGTCCCGAAAACCACCCCCGTCAAAGACAATGCCAAATATAAAACCAGCAGCATCCAAGACGTTTTGCAAACCAGCACCAAAACAACTACAACTTCTTCTACAACAACAACTACAAATAATGAAGTTAATGAGTCTACACCAGATATTACTTGTCAAGTGGAGCAAATGAAAATTGTAGAATCTTCTACGAAATCTGAAGTTACTGAAACCGATTCTTCGGGCAACGAGAAAGTGATTGCGAGTGACTCGAAATCTGATGGTTCAGTGGAGCACAGCTTTAAAAAGGGAGCTTCGATTGGTGATATTTTGAATCAGGATGATATTATGGAAAAAAAGAAAGTTAAAGGGTCTCCTGGGCATCAGAGAGTGCCACCAGGAGGGTATTCTTCTGGATTGTGGTAATAAGTCTGATAAAAATTAAGGATTTTGTCCTTTTAATATCATTTTACTAATTTTGTATTGGATTATAGATGTGTTAAGATAATATATAGTATTTTCAAAAATTTTAGCATAATTTTTCTTTTACCTTTACAGATGATGTTTACCTTGACACCAAAAATAAAAAGTGCATAGGTAAATAAAAATACTCTGATTTAAATTTTACAGCCTACTCGCTATTATTATAGTCTTTGTTCTACAACCTCCGCACCAAGAGTGTGTAAAGAATGCCATAAAAGCAACTTTATGGGGGTGGAAAAATTAAGATTTGCTTGATCAATCGATACACAACGTAATTCCATATTTGGTAAAACATTATGACCCACACACACACACGAGAAAATAAAAATGTAGCATTTTTTTTTTTCATGGCAAGGTCGTTTGTTTGTCCAAATAAGGATGGTGTATGTAGGATACGAATTAATCACCATAACAAGGTTTTTTTTTTAAACCAAATCTATGGGGATTTGATATTTTATTACTTGAGTTAATAGCGGAGTCTTGGGTTTTTTAAGAATAATAATGTTAATTATTTAAATGATTGAATATTTTAAATCATATTTTCTCTATTCCAGGCTCTTGAATTTTGGCAAATTCAAAAGCCTGGAATAGACAAAAATTGAGCTAGAAAAATTGAGAAATAGAGACAAGAAAAAAGAGAAATTGAGAAAAAATTGGTAAACACAGCACAGATTACAGATGCATCTTGAAGACGCCTCTAAGACCCACAGGGTAAAACACAAATCCACATTTTTACGAAAATATAATACAAAATTAAATAACCAGATGACAATAATTCAAATATAGTTGTACCGAGTGATTGTCTATATTTTGCACTCACACCTATCTCATCTGTTTGAAGAGAATACTCCGAAATGTCAAATGTGAAAATTGTATAGGTAATCAGGTCTATGATGTAATCTACTCCTTTTATTTTAACAGCTATGTTATAGATCAACATTTATACTTCTCTCTATTTTGACATATACCTAGAATAAACAGTGACAGGCAACTTAACGTTGCTGTTAAAATAACAAAAAATGATACATCATAGGCCTGAATATCAGAAACTTTGCAATAAAGTTAGTTACAAGTATACATCAGGGTGTATCACAAAAATGTGGCGAAGCAAAGTTATACTTTTTTAAATGGAACACCCCGTATATTATTGACCTATTGGATTAGCCTTTCAAACCTGATTCCAAATAGTATACTAGGTTTTATAGGTTTATTCCTTATGGTCCAGCCTCTGAATATCCCATTTGGAAGAAATAATATATGGATATTTTACTTGAATAATTACCTTTATATTTTGCTGGTGGTCTTTATACTTCACCTTTTTTAATAAAAACATAATTATTCCCGCTTTTTTTTTTTAATTTCTTCCGGACTATTAGGAATAAACCTTATAAACCTAGTATATTTGGAATCAGGTTTGAAAGTCTAATCCAATGGGTCAATAATATACGGGGTGTTCCATTTAAAGAAGTTTAATCCTGTATACTTGTAACCTACAATTTTCACATTTGACATTTCTGGTCTCTGGATATCTCTTCACACCTCACACAGATGTGACAGATGAGATAGATGTGGGTGCAAAATATAGACAATCCCCGGTGATGGAATAAGATTCATATTAAGAGCCACTTTCTTAATAGCGAGTGACCCCCGGGTTAAGCATAACTCCAGGGTAAACATAGCAACTGCACACGCTTACCTTAGGGTTAAAACTAACCCGGAGGTGACTCACTATTATGAAACCGGCCCTAACAGGGAAGGTTAAGGGGGTTGTCAGAAACAGGGTGCGATACCAGTAGCGTACACTCGATCGACGTACGAATAGAGATTCTAAGAAAATATACAAAATTATATAAGTAATCAGATCACAATTATTCAAATACTGTACATGGGATTAGATTCATACTAACAGGAAAGGTTAAGGGGGCTGTCAGAAATAGGATGATACCAGTAGCGTACACTCAATCGACCTACGAATGCACATTTGTACGAAAATATACAAAATTAATATGCTTACGGATATAGATAGCGACTAAGTTACAGAAACAGAGAATATTTATATGCATGAACCAGCCTTTATTGATCTAATAAATAATTAAATTTCATGAGTAGATTGTAGATTGCTGCGGAACTCGCTTCGCTTGTCCCGCAGAGGTTCGTTGATGATTCACTAGTAGAACCTTAGTAGGGTTAGAGTAGAAATCAAACGAGAAGAAGCCACACGGGTTATCGTTTGTCTCACTTTAAATGGTAGGGACGCAGAGAGAAGGAAATCTGCTTTCTTTGTCAGCGCTGATTACAGTGGCTTCTTCTCGTTTGATTTTTACTCTACCTGGGTACGAAATTCTCAGAGGTTTGGGACTCAAATTATTCAAAGAATCTAATTCTTGCACAGTTGCTAATGGTCAGGTGTGTAAAAGTATCGGTTACATCCAAACGCCTGTCACATTGATGGCTAAAACCAGGCCCTGCGATCTCTCATTGCCAGTTATAAACCACATAATAACTCTTTTCCGTTTTTCTAGATGTCGCTGACAACCACAGAATTGTCAAAATTGGAAAATACCAGCACATCAAGAACACGTCCGATGTCGATAACATTGACATGAGATTGACATGTCAACATATGACAATATGCCAAAATATTCATTTGATCATAACTAATAATTCATAATGTTTTTTGTTCGCCGGTCTTGCATTTCATCTTTCTTTGTGTTGTCAAGTGTTCTTAAGTGATTTCAAAGTTGTTTTGTGTGTTTCAAGAAGAACTTCAAACTTTATAGATTGGAAGATCTATTTTTATCTTTGTTGATTAGATAAATGACAAGATCAATTAAACATCAATCAGAACTTTGAATAAATATGTTAAGGATCCCTTAACCATCGATAAAGAAACTGTCTTTTGATCTAATAAACAAATTATCAATTAGTTTAAGCAAACATTAATGCCTCAAAGTCCAGAATAAACGAATTTGAACAGACCGACAGTAATGCGAACAGGGCGCCATCTATCATAAAAAGTCCTTTGTAAAGTAGGTGTCTGTAGCATCGATGCAAAACCAGTAAATAGTGATTTTCCGATATGGTAGATGACGCTGGCTTGGCTCAATTTTGTTGACAACAAAATTTACACTGAGATTCCATTCTCGACAGTTTATATAGTATTTATCTCTGGCTAAAACAAAAATTATTGACATCGTAGTACTCCCCGAACTCTCTCATAAGATCATTCTGGGAATAAACTTTTGGAAGCATATGGGAATAATATCTGACACGGGTTAAGATGTTTGGCGTTCTAGTGTCATCGTTGACTCTGTCGATGTTTGTAGTATCCAGAATATCGATCGTTTGTCAGTTTCTAAAAGGGAATCGGAACAGGGCCGGCTCCAGACATTTCGGACAAGGCAAGATCCTGAGCTTAGTAGCCATTTTACTGACTTAGATGGAGACAACCACCCTCCACAACCTCAACATAATTCAACTCGTCTCAACCTGCTTCAAACTTGCCTTCCTCCTCAGAATTCTCAGCTACCTGATAAAAATTTAAATGTAGAAAAGTGGAATATGAAATTTTCTGGAGATAGTAAAAAGCTCTCTTTACATAACTTCTTGGAAAGAGTTACTGAACTCAGAGTAGAACGTCACGTGACTGAGAAAAAGCTTTTCGATTCAGCTATAGATTTATTCAAAGGTCGAGCGTTGAATTGGTTTAGAACCAATAAGGCGCGGTTTAGTGACTGGAACGGAATGGTTGATTTATTACGTCTTCATTTTGAGCCTCCAGACTATAAGTTAAGACTTTTCAGTTTCTGGACAGAACTCAAGATCCCTCTGAAAGCATTGTGGACTATAAGTCCTACATGCAAGCGTTGTTTAGGCGGCATGAGGATTTACCTGAGGTAGGTAGCTCAGTTGGACATTCTTTGTCGTAATCTTCCTCCCTTCTATTCAACTCAACTGCCTGTAGTTAATACACTTGAAGAGCTTGAACAGAGTGCCTCAAATTAGAGACAAAGAAGTACCGTGTAAACAGCTATGTTCCGCCGTCTAGGAAGCGTCAGCAACTAGTTGAACCAGATTTTGCCTTTGTACAGGTACCAAACTGCCTAGGGAATTCTTCTAACGAATTTACCTACGTCTCGATCTATAACCCAGCCGATAATCCATGTCAAAGGGATAATATTGACCGAGTTCGTTTTTGTTATCTTTTTCGTCGATTTGCTCCGAAATTTTGACAGGCACGTGACTGGATAAAGCCTAGTACTCATAACTGCGAAATTCGCATTTTTTTGACATTGCTTCGACAATTTGACGTTTGATACACGCATAAAACGTCAAATTGTCAACGCAATGTCAAAAAAATGCGAATTTCGCAGTTATGAGTACTAGGCTTAAGACCATTTCAATTTACAAATCACGTGCCTGTCAAAATTTCGGAGCAAATCGACGAAAAAGATGACAAAAACGAACTCTACTATTGATGAGCTTAATGTCAATAGTATACAGCAGCAGAACGTCCGAAGAAATTAAGCTTATTGGAACTGTCAAAAATCCGGACATTTGAATAGGAATTGCCCAGATCCACGTAAGACGCATTGCTTTCGGTGTGGTGCTTCCAATGTTACTGTGAGGACATGTACTTAGTGTTCGCATTCGGGAAACGGTCCTCAGGTGTGTTTCCACAGGAGTCTCTGACAGTTTGCAACCTGTCAGAAACAATCGTTCAGCCGAGTTACAGATTAATTTTGGAACGACGGCATTGAAAACATGTATGTATGGGCGATGCTTACTGACAGTTTGCAAACTGTCAAAGTCTCCTGTGTGAAGGCCGAGATTCTAAAATCACGATTCGACAACGATACCGGCCTTGTCGTCTCGAAAGGTATAATTGACGTGTCTCGCAGAAATAGAAAAAGAGAGCCTTATTGTAATAAATACAAGTTAGAAAGTAATCAAAACTGACATGCGCGCGCAACTCGTGGCTGCAGTGTGGCCAGATTCTATTGTTGCAACACAAATGTAGACAATACAAATCGAACATTATAACATTAAAGAGGTGATATGTTGTCAAGTGTTTTACAACGCCTTAAATCAGACAAAAGAAGAGCTTTAAAGTGTATGTTAACATCGATGACACTTTTATATTGATAAATGTTTCATCCGGCAACATCGCACAATAAAATTGCAAAGGAATATGTCAAGTATAATCTAACATAACCTTGAACGACACTGCGACAAGCTCAAGTAATACGTAAAGTATTAATTTGCTCTTTGTCGAATTACACGTTACAAAGAAAGAAGGAACGATTAATTCTGAACTCGTCCCTGAGTACGAAACGAATATGACACAAGCCCGTAACAAACTCGATTTTCATTCGATGTCGAGTCGTATATGTCAAATCGTGATTTTAGAATCCCCCTGACCCCTCGAGGGAATCGCTAGGTCGTCATATTTCCTCTCAACTACTTTTGACGGCTGACTCTGTTGACATCACTAATGGCGATTTCCATTTGTCATCACTGCCGCACTGAGTGTATCCGCATCTTTTTCTAAAGACATGTAACATGTAAGGATAAGGATATTTTTTTTTTTGCCCTGATTCGACAAATGGAAAACGCTATAATAAATGTATCCTAGACTATATATTCAGACTATATTATCTCTCACGCTCCTGGTGACCAACGACCATAAAGTGCGTTTTTTTTTTAAAGATAAAAGTCAGAATGACATTCTGTTGGCAATAAAATGTAAAATTGTCAATGCTTTCAAATTTTTTATGTAGCAAAGGCTTGTGTTGCCAACATAGTTACTAGATTTTTGACTTGGCAATTATTGTTTGCCCAGCGGATCTGAGTCTACGGAAGGAATTCGGACGTAAATGTGCCATGTTGCCACGTTTAATTATAAAAAAGCGAAAATACTAAGCATGAAGTATAGTTAATTTGAAAATCCGTTTTTTGATAACAAAATATTGATAACAATAATAAAACGCTAAATATTTTAACGTGGTTATTAGACCTATCCTTATTTTAATCCTGATTTCTTCAGTTTGGTCTATTGTAAAAAATAAACATTTTCTAAAGATACCATCAGCTTTTGACAATTTGGCAAGCATCCGTCCTGGATGAACCTGATTGGTGGAGTTTTTGGCAGGATCGCCGTTGTCATGGGGGACCATACGGTTGTCAAAGAGCTAACGTCACCTTACGTCTCGCTATTGGCCAGGGCTCACGTCATTTTCTCCTCCCATCTTGGAATATCGATTTATATTGACATATCCAGTGGCGGAGATTTGGTCATTGCTGATTTTCATGTACGAGTTGCAATACGATAACACTTCCAAAAAGTTACGCACGCAGCTGGGTATTTTATGAATGAAATCAGCCATTTTTTTTACAACTGCATTCCCCTTACCGTTGCCCCGTAGACACAGACTCGCTGGGCAGACATTAGATAGTTATTGGACGTGCAATAAGGACAAGCAGTATTTAAATTAGCCTTATTTTGACATCTACGCATGTGCATTTGGGTCCGAAAATAAGGATTCCCTTAATAAGGTTACTGCTTGTCTTTATTTGTGTATGGTTAGTGCGTGGCAGTAAACTTCCCTTATTTCAAATTTCTGACATTTTGGACGACTTTGACGTTTTGCTTTTCGACGATGACGTAATTTTACTTAGAAAATTTATTTTTACAATAGTTTTCCATTTTACTGTGCGTAACATCAAAAAATGAGTATCAGCAGAAAATCACAAACAAAAATAAACACTTTTTGAGGCTGAAATTTATAAACATAGCTATCATCTGTCAAAATTATGAATACAAAATAAGGTAATACTCTAGTACCTATAGTCTGGCTTAGCCAAACGGCGAACTCCAAAAGAATTTGCTGCTTTGCCAAACTTGACGGAAACAATGATAAATTAGTTGGTGACATATTTGTTTTGCTGTATGGGCATGTGTAGTATTTCGAAATAGAAAAAAATCCGGCAACATTGCGAAATGATGGATGTGGAGAGGCATGATTATTCAGAGGCATGATTCTATTGGTTAGAGTCTGAACGACAGCACGCAGTGGCGTGGTTATTGGCGAAACTAGAGAATTTTTTCTAATAATTTTATTGATTTATTTCCTTGGTGTTTCCGGTGCCACTGAACCGCAAGACGTGGCTGTCATCAGGCGGTGTCAGTTGAGGTGTCAGTGGATATTTTTAGGTTACGCCCCAGTTTTCTTCCCCCTTTCGTCTCTACCAAGTTACCACTAGCCAAACTATACTACAGTCTTCCAATCTGTTTTTTTCTTGGAAAAATAGTGCTGATGCACTAATAAAATAACGTAGATCCTTAATACTGCGAGGCAGTATTTAATAGTTCCAATAACTCTCTAATATCTTTAGGCGGTTACACACGGGCATGGATGGCTTAATACATATACGTGCATACATCAACGTGCAAACAACAACGTGCATGTCGCGTTTGTACAGACGCTCGCACAAAACTGCAGTCTTGCTATTCTTGCAACAGTAATCAGAGTGTGCATACAAAATTTCTAGCGATTCCACATTCAAAAACGCGACGGTATTTTGCATACACATTGGGCGGTTACACACGGACGTGGATATCTTAATACATATACGTGCATACATCAACGTGCAAACAACAACGTGCATGCCGCTTTTGTAGGTACAGACGCTCGCACAAAACTGCAGTCTTGCTATTCTTGCTACGGTGTTCCGAATGTGCATACAAAATTGCACATTCAAAAACGCGACGATATTTTGCATACACATTGATGTTTTTGTTTGCACGTTCATGTATGTGCGTACATGTTTTCAGACATCAACGTCCGTGTGTAACCGCCTATTGATGTTTTTGGTTGCGCGTTCATGTATGTGCGTGTTTTAAGACATCCACGCCCGTGTGTAACCGCCTTTTAAAATGCTTGGATTGCTTGACTCTGGTGCCAATAGTTGTATTCCTTTCAAGAGTTTGAAACACTCGAGCTACTCGCTCCGGAGTTCAGGAGCCCCTAATAGGGAACTTGCACATTTTTTTTTTTATTTCAAAAATGTGTTCTACTACACTAAAGACTTAGGGCGGGTATTATAAAACTGCTTTGACAGTTAACTTGAAGTTAACTTTTTGAATTACATGCATTAAGTTAACTCTCAAAGCAGTTTTATAATTCCCGCCCTCTAAGTCATACCATCGAGCATTAAAAATCAGCCGTTAATTTTTTATAAATATTTAAAGTTACGCTCGGAACATCACCATTTAAAACGACCAATTAGTGTGACGTCACTCGGCAACAAAATTCCGTTGACAGTGACGAGCACTTCGAACTTCGAGTAAGGGCGAGTTCTCATGAGCGTAAGTTGACATACCTGGGTCCTTATTCTTGAAACAGGGGAGCAGCGTTCCCAGGAGAACGAGTGTTCCGTCTTTCTCAATGATATGCGAGTGATAATATAAGTAACAAAGACGGAACGCTCGTTCTCTTGGGAACGCTGCTCCCCTGTTTCAAGAATAAGGACCCTGGCGTCATCACGTGATAAAATGTTTGAAGTTTTATTGATAAAAGATTCGCCATGCTGGATATTTTATCAATCAAATTCCGCAATATTATCACGTGATTACGCCAGAAATGTCAACTTACGCTCATGAGAACTCGCCCTAAGGGCAGGTATTATAAAACTGCTTTGACAGTTAACTTGAAGTTAACTTTTTGAATTACATGTAATTCCAGAAGTTAACTTTAAGTTAACTCTCAAAGTAGTTTTATAATACCCGCCCTAAGGTAGATTTAGATGATGGTTATGTTGTTATGTATGCCATTTACGATAAATTTGACAATGGCAATACCAGCAGCACATGACGTGGCGGCGGCGCGACCCGAATATTACTGCCTTGTGACGTCACGACTCATTGAAACACGTTTTCGATCGCGTCGCGTCATGAATTTCGAATTATTTGGTATTTTCAATTGAAGATTTTAGACACCAGAGATAAGTTATTACTTTTTTGTCCTAACTGCATGAATTATTAGGATGTTTGTTGTTTTATTATTTATTCCATTTTTAATTTCCCTATTTGCAGGGAACAGATGCAAGGTTCAAGAAGAAAGTGGATCTGAACTGAAAATGAATGTGTTTATGAATTATTGAATATTCAAAAGGCGAGAATAGACAAAAATTGAGAATTAGAGATATGAAATTCATATCGAAAGCATCGATATTTTCTTACATTAATATCGAGTTTTTCAATAGTTGATTTCCATTATTCGGATTTAGGGAAATTACCAGCAATTTGGCAACGTTGTCCCTCCATGTCCGTATGAAGTTTCTAGTGGACGACACTAGTGCCAAATTTCCTATATTATAGCAATGTTGCCACACGTACTATAAAATTGAAAGCCATCATAATCATAACCTCAAAAAAAATTTAAATGGATAAGAAAACAATGTGTGCAATGTTAAATTAAATGTTCAATGCAAAATTCTTTAGATTATTCGTTTCTATATTATAAATAAACCTCAGTTGATCATTAACAATGCCTGTGGTAAGTAATATTTTACATACTTAATAAATTAGAAAATTTATTTTATAAATACTCTATACTCGTACATGTTCTTTTGTAGAAATCTAAAATATCGCAAGCCAAGCGCAACAATCAGAAAAAAAATAAGCTGGTCAAGCAAGGCGTTATCAAAAAAGCCACCAAAAAGCCCAAAAACAACAACATCCCCAATCAAATTAAGCAAACCCTGCAAGACTACTCTGAAGAAGAAAGCGATCATGGCGAAGACATGCTTCAAATGGTCGACGAAGAAGATTTGGACTTTTTGAAGCAGGCAATCGCAAATAGGAGCTACAATTTACTGGATAAAGTTTCCTACAAAACTAAAGCTAAAAAAAGGAAGCTGCAGACAGATGATGAAACTTTGGAAAACGAATATGAAGAACAAATGGAAGACACTAGTGGGAAACGAGTTAAAGCTTTGTTACCTATTAAGACTAAAAAAGGATTTGTGCATAAGGAAATAGTGGAAGATATAATTGGTAAACTAATTTTTATTACTGATTTCCCCAAATTTTTCTTGCATATCCCTAAATACTTGTGATACCCTTAAGACTCCTTGAGATTTCCAAGAATTTGCTAGATCTCCTTAATTTTTCATAGAATGCAATATCAAAACTACATTTATTTTATTACAATATGAGGCATAATTTTTGTATTTTAGTGGAAAACCTGGTAACGTGATATTCTCTTGAATATTCTCAGATTTTTTTTAGATTTTCTCCTTCAGAGTACAACTACCTACAAGCTAAATTATTAAAATAATTTTCCTATTCCAGGCTCTTGAATTTCTTTGAAATGTTCATAATTTAAAAGTCATTTGAAGTGAAAAATCAAAATAGTAAAGAGAAAAAAACTACTCTATTCCAACATTCCTGCTCTAGATTAGTGATGCCGCGAGACTCGAGACTGGTCTCGTCTCGTCTCGACTTTTCGAGACAAGACTGGCTTTTGGTCTCGTCTCGTGAAGTCTTGACGAGACGACACCAGACTTGGTGAGAGTCTCGTGTAGTCTCGAGTCTCGAGATTACACTTACATTTTTTCTTTCATTTATTTATTTATTTATTTATTTGTTTATTGTCTAACAGGATAAACCCAATAACAAGACAATTATAATAATTTCAAATTAAAGACTAGACAAATGTTATTGTAAACTTAAAACTAGGTTTTGACATATATGCTTCATATACAAATACATGAAGTAACTAACTATAGTTTGTAATTAACAATCAAGAGAAAACAGATGTAAATTAAGTATATTAAGCAGCATCAACAGCTTCCCCCAGCAAAACCCCAGGACAAAAAGTTAACCCCAAGCGCAATGTGATAAACTATGTACAAAATATACAGAATAGAATTATTAAAATAATTTTTGGGATAAGAAGTGTGAACCTAAACCAAATCTATAAAAATAAGATGATTTTGACAATTAAACAAAACTACTATTATAAATCATTAATTACAAATTATGACTCCTTGAAAATTCAATATTTATGTAGACAAACAAACACCAGAAACCGAAATATTCCATGCATACAAACACTATTGGAGGTGGGTAAAAAGTCATCCGAAGTAAATGCTATTAAACTCTTCAATTTATTACCAAACAATCTAAAAAAAAGTAAAACAATTAATAACAGATTTAAACATATTATAAAAGAATTTTTAATAAATGAAAACATCACCCATTTGTGAAATTTGGAAATTTTGTACCTTATTACACTTTTACATTAATTATTAATAATTTATGAAATATTATAAAGCTTGTAGTATAAGTAAGCATTTTTAAATAATTTAGTTCTTACGGTAACTTTAGTTTAGGTACCAGGCCTGCTCACAGACGCATGTGCGCCTCATGCAGGATATATATTTTATATGTTTTATATTTTATATTGTAATATTTCTTACACCTGGAATAAATTGAAATTGAAATTGAAATTGAAGCTAATCAGCAATATTCCACAAAAATGCAAGATTCAATAATCAATCAAAACAATCACTAGAGCAATTTAATTCAGGAGAGCATTTTTTATCTGTGATATAATTTTTGTTTTAAATGACTTTACAGTACCATTGAAAAGATCCAACTCAAGTACAATGGGTATTAATTGATTATGCCATGAGCAGGCTCTATATATAGGCGCATTTCTGGCGAGATTAGTATGACAGTTTTCCAGATAAAATTTATGGTGAGTTCGGGTGTTTGCTGCGGGAACCAAAAAATTGAGGCAACTCAATATTTCAGCCGCTTTATTATTGGACTATTCTGGGCTATTTGAATATGAAATCAGTAAATTAAATATCAGGGTTACTCTTTACTGTGATTTTTCACTAATTGCTTTTTCACTGTGGCAGTTTGGACTTCCGTTATAATATAAAAACAAAAACCATAAATACAGGGTGTCCGACAAATAGCGTAAAAACTCTACACGTAGTAGAGGACCCTTTGAGAAATCTTAGAAAAATAATTAAATTAAAAAAATCCTCGAAAAAATCCTTCTCCAGCATTATTCTTGGTAATATGAAGAAGTAAATGTGAAAATTCACCTTGGAATTTTTCAGGTAGTTACATGGATATTTAATTTAATTCTCTGACATATTGTCAACGGAATATTTTCAGTGTTGCCAATTTTAATAAATATTGAAATGTAAATAACTTTCTTAAGAATGCCACTAGATTTTTTAAAGTATTTTTCTGGGGTTCCTTGTAGGGTCCTCCACCACGTAGAGAAGACTTTTTACACTATTTTTTGGACACCCTGTATAACTCGAGACCAGACGAGACGAGACAAGACTTTGGTACTCGAGACCGAGACTAAATCACGGTCTCATCTCGAGATGTCGAGACGAGACGAGACCAACCCTAAGTCTCGTCTAGTCTTGTCTCGCGGCACCACTACTCTAGATCTAGGGAATTCAAAACTTGGCTTCAAAGTTATGAGCCAATGAAGCTTCCTCTCTAAATCTGAGGTTCAAAAATATATGAGCAAATCATAGAATCTGATAATTGAAATAAAACTCTTATTTTTCTCATCTGAACTTTATTTTAGCTAAATTTGACAAAATCAAAATAACTGTACTTAAATAAGATGAGCCTATAGAATCTAAAACATTTTCTTAAAGATTTCATTTTTACAAGTTTGACAATCTTGTCCATTTAGAATACACATGTCTTTGCTTTAAATCCAAGATATCTGGAAATGCATATTATAATCCCATTACAGAATTTGAAAATAAATTCAATGAAAACAAAAGTAAGGAATAATAACAATAAATCTCAGATTATTCACATTTTTCTTATCTATCCAATGAACATCTCAAAAAACTGTTTAGAGTCCAAATTTTCATTATTACTGGCTCTTGATTTGCTGGATAATTTTCTTATAAGAACAATCAAGAGCCACTAATTGTTTTAATCTTGATTATAATAATTGGCTCTTAAAATAGAGTCAATCATGAGCCATAAATATTCCAAATCTCCTCAAAAAAGAGTTTTCGATATCTCCTGCATGGTGTACATGGGATATTATGACCCCTCATTTTTATTCAATACTTAAATCTATGTAATTTTATTTTTTTCCAGAAGAAGAACAACCTAAAAAAGCAACAATTCAAAAAGCTGACATCGTTGAAACTGAAGAAAATGAATCAGAAGTTGAAGAAATCTTCACCTTGCAAGAAACTGACATTGATTTGAGTAAACCAATATCAGCCACCCAACTTTTGGCAGCCAGAAATGAGGCTTTAAGACAAAAGAAAATACATATTGGGACTCTAAGTTCAGGTAATATTTTTTCGAATAAGTTAGATTGTTTTTATTTCAAAAATTATTTGTAGGTTTACTAGAAAACCCTGAAGAAAAAGTGACAAATTTGAGAAGTTTAATAAAACTTCTAGACGATGATGTACCTGAAACATATTTTACAGTTAAAAAATTAGTCATTGTATCATTGCTTGAAGTATTTAAGGACATCTTGCCTGATTACGAACTCAAGAATTTCAATCCTGAAAATGTAAAATGTAATTTGATATTTATTATTGTATAAACAGCATAATTAATTAATGATTTTTTTAGTGAAAAAGGACACATTAAAGCTGCAAAAATATGAGGTGATTTTGTTAGCTCACTATAGGAAGTTTTTACAAAAATTGGAGTCATATTGTTTTATGGTTGCCAAAAAAAAAGGAGATTCAAGGAAGATTTCAGAGGTAGTATATATTGAATGAATATTTCATGGTTAACTGAAAGTTATTTTTGAGGAAAATGAATTACAATTTCAAATTTTTAGGATCTATTAATTGAAATTTGAGCAAATTGGAATAAATTATATATAATTGAAAAGAGCATTAAATTCTCTATAAATCCATGCTAAATTGGTTCTAATAACTCAATTCCTTTTTTTAAGAGATTGAGCCTCAAAGTTGAACATAAATTCAATAAATTATGTCTCATTAATAAAACTTAGTGTCATCCAATCAATTAATTCTTTTCAAACAATGATATTTTTTTACACCCCCAGGAAGAAGTAAAAGTCGCTGAACTATCAGTCCAAGCCATGTGCGACCTACTAATTGCCCACCCCTATTTCAACTACGCTCATAACATTTGCCAAGTGCTTGTACCATTTTTAAACAACCCCCGTAAAAACATTAGGGAAATAGTAAAACCCGCTATTTGCACTGTATTCAAAGAAGACAAAAAAGAAGAAGTCACCCTGAAAATATTACGCCTAATAAACAATTATTTAAAAACCCATACACATGTTTGTGTGGATATGTTGGAGGTTTTGCTAGTCTTAAACTTAAGAGACGTAAATATAAACATTAAAATGGAGCAAGAAATTAAAAACAAAAAGTTGCAAGCTAAAAAAGGTAGATTGCTGCAAATGTCTAAAAGAGAGCGAAAGAGAAAGAAGAAATTGAAAGAATTGGAACAAGAGATGCTTGAAACTAAAGCCGAAGAAAGTAAGCAAGTGAAACAAAAAAACCAAACTGAAATAATTACAGTTATTTTTAATATATATTTCCGGATTTTGAAGAATTCTGAAAATAATAAGTTGCTTAGTGCTTGTTTGGAAGGCTTAACTAAGTAAGTGAATACATTATTATCAAGAATTAATTGTATGTAAATTAATGTATTTTAGGTTTGCTCATTGTATAAGTTTGGAATATTATGTGGATATGGTTAATGTTTTAAATCATTTATTAAAGGAAGATTGGTTGGGATACAAGGAACAATTACACTGTATTCAGACACTTTTTATTATGTTGAGTGGACAAGGAGAAGCTATTGACATTGACCCTACAAGGTGAATTATTATTTCTATTACTATACTCAAATAAGTAAATGTAATTTTAGGTTTTATGTGCATTTATATGAAGACCTCTTTGTAACAAGTGCCTGCAACACCCATAGAAATACTTTACTAGTATTAAAAACCCTTGTAGATGCTTTAATTAAAAGACGCAAAAAAATAACTAATAAAAGGATTATAAATTTTGTTAAAAGACTAGCAATATTTAGCTTGCAACTTTTGCACAACGGGTAAGAAACTTTATAAAATTGACAAATTTATAATAATTATTTTCAATTATTTTAAGTGCTCTAGGTTGTCTAGGCCTTTTGGCAAACATATTCCATTTGAACAGTTCAGTGGATATTTTGTTGGACCTGGATAGTTCCAGTGGAGAAGGCAAATATCAGCCTTACATAAACGATCCTGAGTACGCCAATGCTTCAGGCACAGCATTATTTGAAACAGTTTTATTAAACAGGCATTATCATCCAGTAGTGAAAATGTTTGCTAAATATATTGCCAGTGGTGCTCCATCAACAGGAGATGCAAGTTTACCTCATCAATATAGTAAATTGTAATAGTCTCATGAACTGTTTTTTTTGTGTTTTTGTGACATTATTGTTTTAGAACTGTTGAGGAACTTTTTGAGAAATTTGACATGTTTGAGATGGGTTTTAATCCCCCAGTGCCTGTGCCTTCTAAAAATGTAACACCTAAAGGTAGGCCTAGCAGAAGTGATTTCATTGATTATTCATTTTATGAAGAGTGCAACAATGTGTTGAGGAGTAAGGAGGCAACTGGACCTTTGTGGATTAGTATTTAATTATATTTCAACCACATAAATAATAGGTTTTTTGTGAGTAAAAACTTAATATATATTAAAGTTAAAAATACAAAGCTACAAATACAATATTCTTATTTTTCATAAGTTATTTTACATTGTTTCATATTAGTTCTAAGTATATTCAAAATCCTATCCCTATCCGTAACGTAAGGCAAACCAAATATGGTCAAAGTTTGTAGTTTTTGCAGTTTGGCCAAATGCTCAAGACCAGTTTCCACTACATTTCCGCACCTGGAAACTTGCAAACACAACAAAGTATCTTGCACATAATGCAATTCTTTTAGAGCTTCATTCTCCATATGATTGCACTTGTCCAAAATAATCTTACTGATACGTTTGCAGTTTTTCAAGTGCTCAAAACCATTTGCCATTATTGAGCTGCCAGTGGCGTCTATTTCTTGTATTCGGACTTGGACTTCGTCTTTTGGGAGTTTATTGTAGTCTTCGTGGTATTCATCTGCGTTTACCCATTTAACTCTGCCTCCATTACGCAAAATCCATTCGGCACAAACACGATCTGGCCCTACTTGTTTCAATCTGAATTCGTCTAAAGCGTTAAATTGTAAGTTTATCCAATGGAATAATGATCTTCGTTGGATGTTGAATATTATGGGGTTTTTACACGTTTGAAATAAGGACATGATTAAAATATAATGATAATTAAAATGAAAAGGTGTAGGGTTTGGGCTATTTTCATGTAAGCGTTTCACCTTTTGTGACCTAAAAATTACAATTTATATAGTACATTGATTAGGGAGTAGCAAAGTGATTCTTACACAAGCCTCTAAATAATCGATTTTACGTTCCAGAATAGTGAGTTTTTCGTTTAGGCCTGCAAGTTTAGAACGACAAGATAAATCTAAAAAAAGAAAAATGTGTTGTCAATAATTTTGGCATGTTTTGTTGTTATTTACCAAACGAGTTCAGAAAATCTGTAATTTTCTTGATGCTGATTGTAATTATTTCGATATACTCTCTGTTGCCCCAATCTTGTTGTATTTGTTTTTGGACGGCTTCGCCTCTACTTGGGGGCCCAGACATATTTTTTGTGAATGAAATGGGAAATCCACTATAAAAGGGATTCTAATCAATGATATAGGTAGAGTGAAGTTATGACAACACTGTGTTGTGTGGATACTGTGCCAACATGGAATTTTGGAACAGAATTGAGAGCAAGTTACTCTAAAGTACTCCACCGAGTCCAACTATGACTTTTTAATGTAAATAGTGAACAGAGTCAAATCGCCTGAAATGCCGCCTTGAAAAAGGAGATTTTTGAAGTAGAGTATTGATGTCAGCGTTGCCAGACGTACGACAGGTGTGGTATTTGTACGACAGTTCGGGGCATGTTCGTTACAAGAAAATCAATGCGTACGGTAATGTACCACAGTTTTGAAATCTTGGGTTGAGTGGGTAATATTTTATGGTAATATGTACCTGTCTAAATTTTCCTTTTTGCTTATGAATGTTGGTCAAATTGGGAAAAAAATGTAGAACAGAGTTGCTTGGAAACAGTCTATAAGGCAATTTTTCGCGAGAATAATCAAGCATAATCGATTTTGCTGGATTATGTAATGTGTCAATTGTGTCATACTCTCCTTACTCCGTCGGGGACCAAGAACACCTAATTTCTTCTGTGAGAACAGACCGAAAATCATTTTTTCTATATTCAAAATCGACGAAAAAATTAACTCATAGCGAGCATTCCATCGAGGTCTGCGGGTGACGTCATCATTATAATCTGTTGATAGTGACGTCACTCGCAGGCCCAAAAGTTCATGGGGAGGGAGTTATAGGGGAGTATGACACAATTGACACATCAAATAACCCAGCATAATCAGATTATGCTTGATTATCCTTGCGAAAAATTGCCTTATAAGCTTGAGAAAGTTGAGCATTTATCAATGTTCGAGGATTATCCCTGTTAAATATAAGATTAGTTTGGAGTAGTTCGGAGTAAGTCGAGCAAACCTATAAAATGTTGACTTGGCAACACTGTGTAGAAACATCGTTTTTGTTATGTCAACTATGTCAAGTTTAGTTTAGTAGTCAGCTGTGATATAGTTGAAAAGTTGCAAGTCATGCTGTAACATTAAAAATTAATTAATAAAAAGTTCTTTGTTCTATGCCTCATGTTTTATTGATGAATGGAAATATAAATTAGAGCACATTCTTCTTATCGCTTCCTAATCAGAACCTAACAATGGTTATGGGCCCAGGAAAGAAGATGTGTTAAGGCTTTAAGGTAAAACTCAGTGTAAAGCTAAGTTGTTAGTTTCTGGTTTTGGCTGTTGAAAAAACGTAGAACAAAATGGCTAGTCAAGCAGTTGAAAATAAACATGGAATAATTCCATTCAATGGAAATGGTTTTGATAATTGGAAATTTAGGCTTTATGCCGTACTGAAAGCAATGGATTTGAGTGATGTATTGAAACCAGTTGTTTCAACCTCCAGAGATGACGATTGGCACAAGAAAAACAATAAGGCTTGTATGATAATAATCCAAAGTGTAGCTGACACTCACTTAGAGTATGTTAAAGAAACAGATGTCGCAATTGACATGATCGCAAAGCTGGAAGCAACATTTAGTAAGAAAGGTACGTGCTCAAAATTTTATTTGTTGAGAGAATTAATAAATTTGAAGTATCAGTGTAATACAAATTTGCAAGCACATCTTGCTAAATGTGACCGTATCTTTCGTGAACTTAAAAGTCTAGGAAGTACCTTTGAAGAATCAGATATTTCATGTTTCTTATTATTATCAATGCCTCAGGATTATGAAAATGTTGTTACTGCTATCAGAACTCTTAAAGAAACTGATTTGACAGTTGAATTTGTTAAAAGTAAGCTGCTGGAATTCAGCATGAATAAAAATGGAGATAAATCAACCTTTAAAAAATATGGAAATGAGCATGTTGTGTCCTCATCATTCAGTGCACAAAATCAGTCTCAAGATCAGAGAAAATGTTTTAAATGTGGAAAATTGGGACATGTGCAGAGCGTTTGTGGAATAAAGTGTAATTTTTGTCAAAAATTGGGACACAAAGCAAATCAATGTTTTCAAAATAAAAATCGAAACAAAAATATTAATAAAGTAGCTCATTATGCTGGCGGATCTAGTGAAGATAGCAACAATGATGGAAAATCAACCGAAGAAGCTGTTGCTTTCTGTGCAACTTCAAATAATTTGTCAGATTCTAGTGGAACAGTATGGTATGCAGATTCAGGAGCTACTCACCATTATATTAATGATGAAAAGATGTTAATTAATAAAAGAAGATTCAATGAACCAAGATTGATCCAATTGGCCGAAGAAGGGAAATTTATGAAAGCAACTTGTGTGGGAGACTTAGAAGCAATAAGTGAAGTCGAAGGTAATCAAATTTCAATTGTTATTAAAAATATTTTGTGTGTACCTGGTTTAAGAATAAATTTATTATCTATATCAACAATTGAAAAAGCAGGTTTCGAAATTGTATGTGTTAATGGCAAGATTATTATTAAAAAGAATAATTCGATTTTTGCTATAGGTAATCGTTATAATAATCTGTACAGAATACATTTTCAGCATTTTTCTGATGAATATGCAAATTTAGCAGCAAAAGATAAAGATAAGGAACTTTGGCATCAAAGATATGGACATTTAAATTATAATTCTTTGTTGAAAATTAGAAATTTAAATTTAGTAAATGGTCTGCAATTTGCAAATTCGGATACTGAAAAAATCTGTGAAATTTGTATTAAGAGCAAACAAAAATGTTTTCCATACTATTCTAAGACATCAAGGTCAAATAGGGTTCTTGAATTGGTGCATACAGATGTATGTGGTCCAATCACACCTACATCACGTAATGATAATTCCTATTTTGTAACGTTTGTGGATGATTATTCCAGATTTGTAATGGTATATATTATTAAACATAAAAACGAGGTTTTTAATTGTTTTAAAGATTATGAAGCTAAGGTGGCATCTTTATTTTGTAATAAGAGAATTTCAAAAATTAAATGCGATAATGGAGGGGAATATTGTTCAGGAGATTTATTAAATTTTTGTTCCAAAAAGGGGATTCAGGTAAGTTATACTCCTCCATATACTCCCCAACTTAATGGTGTTGCGGAGAGGATGAACCAGACATTAATGGACAAAGCCAGATCAATGATTATGCAAGCAAAAATGGAAAAGATATTTTGGGAAGATGCTGTCCTTGTAGCTGCCTATATTACAAATCGAACTCAATCATGTATTGTAAGAGGAAAAACTCCCTATGAATTGTGGACTAGAAAAAAGCCGAACGTGTCGAATATGAAAGTTTTTGGGTGCATTGCCTATGCGCGAGTGCCTGATTCTCTGAGAAAGAAATTGGACGATAAAGGTTTAAAATGTAGATTTATTGGATATACAGAAAACGGATACAGATTATGGAATGCAGAAGAATACAAATCAATTCATTGTAGGAATGTTGTATTTGATGAGAACACTTTTGAAAATAGTACTGAAAGATCTGAAATGAGAAATTATGATTTAAATAAGCCAAATGACAGTGATGATAGTGATGATGAAGATGAAAATGAAAATAGTGAAAAAATAGAGGAAAATGAGAATCAAGAAGAAAATAGTGTAAATAATGAAGGAATAGAAACAGAAATTATGAGAGAACAGGAAAACACAAGATCAAGACGACAAACAAAAATACCGATACGATTTAAAGATTATGACTTAGATATAAGCTGTTTAGCTTTACTAAGTGAATTTACAGATGCACCACAATCATATTTGCAAGCAAAAGAAAGTTCAAAAAGCAATTATTGGGAAAAGGCCATTGAAGATGAATTAACTGCATTACAGGACAATGAAACTTGGCAGTTGGTGGATAATCCAGAAAAAGAAGAAGTAATAAGTAATAGATGGGTCTTTAGAGTCAAGGAAGATGATGAAGGTAAGTGTATGTATAAAGCTCGATTAGTTGCTCGAGGTTTCGAACAACATGATTTTGGTGATTATGGACAAATACATGCTCCAGTTGCAAGACTTTCAACATTAAGAATTTTATTATCAATTTGTAACAACTATGATTTAGTTTTGGAACAGTTAGATGTAAAAAATGCTTTTTTACACAGTAATTTAAAGGAAAAAGTTTTCATGAAAATCCCAGAAGGTCTTAAAGTTTCAGAAAAAGACAGAGGTAAAGTATGTTTACTGAAAAGAGCTATATATGGTTTAAAACAGGCCCCTAAAGCTTGGAACGAAAAGTTTAATGATTTCATGACAAATTTACAATTTGAACGTTCAAGATCTGATTATTGTTTATATACTTTTATTGATCAAAATGTAAGATGCTACTTGCTTCTGTATGTTGATGACATTTTGATTGCATGTGATAATCAAATTTTTTTGAATTATTTAAAATTAAAATTGTGTGAAACTTTCAAAATTAAAAAAATGATAAATGATCAGTTTGATTTTTTAGGAATAAAGATATGTAGAGATTTGAAAAACAAAGTTATTAGCATGGATCAAATTTCAGCAATTAAAAATTTAATCAAAAAATTTAATGTAGAAAATTGTAAGAATTATAAAACTCCTGTTGAAAAAAATTTAAGTTTAAAAAGAAATACTAATGAAGATATCAAAACAAAATTGCCATATAAAGAATTATTAGGTAGTCTTATGTACATAATGATGGGTACAAGACCAGATATTTGTTTTGGTGTCAGTTATTTTGGACAATTTCAAGACTGTGCCACTGATGAACATTTCAAGCATCTTTTAAGAGTATTGAAATACTTGAAATTTTCTATTGAGTATAAGTTATATTTTTATCATTCTAATGACAGCTTGGTTGGATATTCTGATGCTGACTGGGCTAATGATATTGTCGATAGAAAGTCTATAAGTGGGTATTGTTTCAAGTTATTTGGTAATTTGATTTCATGGAGTTCAAGGAAACAACCATTTGTAACTTTATCAAGTACCGAGTCAGAATTTGTAGCAATTTGTGTTGCCTCATGTGAACTATTGTATATTAAGAATTTATTGTTTG